ATATAGTATATGATCGGGACCGTAGCCACGAGGGGAAGTGAGAACAGACCACCCTCCCGCCCCCCAAAAAAAAAATTTGGCCCGAAACATGGCGCTTCGAAAAAAATGGTTACCTTTCCGGCCCCCAAATTTAAAAATAAATTATTAGTTATTAAATTTTAATTCACAATTAACAAATAAATCTAAATGAAGATGCAACAAAATTTTTAGAAAAATGTTATTTATTTAATTTATAAAAATTAATAAACAAGAACATACCTATAAAAATATTATTTATAAAATATCCATTATCTCATTAGTCGCCCAAGTGATGAATTTTGACAAAAGGGATCCAACAATTGGGAAAAAGTGTTAGCTTCAAAGAAGGGGTTGCTATAACATGAATGATAAAAATCTTAATATAAATAAGACTGAGATAACAATAATTCTTAAGCCAACAAATTAACCGTAATCGTTATTATATTAAATAAATATTTGATGGATGCTATTTTTAGCATATAGGAGCTACATTTTCATGGGGCTAGTTCAACAAAAATTAAGAATGCTGCAAAAGATAATAAAATAATTTATTCTTCTGGACTATTTGTAGCAAAATTTTCATACACCATCCAAAAGGATCCAGAATTAAATAATATTATAAAATGAATAACCAAAAATGCACAGTATACAATGATGATGCAAATTTCATGTCTGGCGAAATGGAGGTTTACAAACCTTCCTTCAAAAAAAATCAATAAAAAAGTGTCTTGATATAATAATATTGTTAACATTTCTAATTTTCTTAAATTTATCTAAGGCATTGTATCATATTTTTAGGCGTTTTAAAATATAAATATTCAGGCCGAAAGATTCTTAGACCAGAGGTGGACTGGTGATTTAGAATCTTGTATCCTTTATGAAGTATTATTTTATTTAGAACTCTTAACTCAGAGGTTTCCACTCATGATTCAGTCGAAGCCTTTTATTTTTTATCTCAATACGTTAATATAAAAGCAAATTATATAGGCCTTTTAATTTATGAAGTATTAATAACCATAGATCCAATGAATAATCTATAGTCAATAGGAACTAATATAGTGGATGCTAAAAATTGCATTGATTCTACAATTAATATATTAAAATAAAAAAAAAATAATTCTTTTTGATATTATGGCTGAATATCAAAATTTAATCTCACCACTCAAAAATTATCAAGGGTACGTTAAACATCTACAAATCTTCAAGTTTTTTTAAGCGATACCAAATTGCAATTTGATCGTGAAAAGGACTTCAAATGAATCCTTTAAAACAGAATTATCATGAAATTATAGTAGATCGTTTTTAGATAGATTTACACAAGATGATTATAATCTTCTATCTTGTTTTAATAATGTCCCCGGGCCCCATTAGAATCATAATCTAACTTAAATAGACTGGAGACGTTACATCATGAAATGAAATATCAAAAGAATCATTAGCTGCTGAAGTTAAAGAAAACATAATTTTAAAAATTTCGTAAAAATTATCATCTAGCATTTAAAGAATTGTAAGGCTACTCAACACAACAACCATCATCATTGGGGTTAGAGGTAGGCGCGGGCCGTGAAATTACGCGTGACCCATCGTGTCACGACGTGAGTGTGAATAAATTTTAAATTATTAGGCGTGACGGGCCTTCCCAAAATTTTTCCCGGGCGTGATCGGGCATGAACATGAATTTCCCGTGAATCACGGAAATTTTATTTGTTTTTATAAATATAAATTTGCAATTTTATAATTATAATTACATATTTTCTAATTTAATTAGTTATTTTTTAAAAAGGAAAAATTTTTGAAAACAAAAAATATTCAGGCATTTTATAAACAACATCTGGTGTCACGCTCCTAGTTCTATTTTCTTGTTTTTCGCGAGATTTTTTACTTAAATTTTAAAATTTATTCTCAAGCACTTAAGGTAGGCAATTCTAGATCCTAATTTCAAAAGCCTTAAGTTTTAGATAGACGAAGAAAAGGAAGATATTTACAAAACAATCTTAAAAATGTGAAATGATATAAAATTAGATGATATGCAGAAGTCAATGCCAACTGTCAAACTTTTCTAATTCATCCTACATTCATAAAAACCATATATTCTAAATGAAACATATTTTTAGATAATTCTGATGAAGCATCAACATCTACCGATGAAAGCTGTTGAATTTTAAAGATTCATCCCATAAAACAAATAACAATGGCAATATATTGAAGTTTTGGAAGCAGAAAAATTTATTTCCTTTGAGAAAATTAGAAAGTAAGATTTTGTCGGCCCTGGCAAATTCGGCTTGTAGTGAAAGGTTATTTTCTGTAGCCAATCGCCTATTAGAGGAAAGGCGTACACAATTCATAAAAAAAATAGACGTCTTCTTTTTCTAAGTAAAAATTTGGATTTATAATATGCATTTATTTTTTATTATTATGGATTATGGAATTAAAGAAATAAATTCAAAAAAAAAAATTAAAGCATTAAAGTTTTGAAAAATTTAAAAACACCGTAAATTTTCGGCCGTGATGGGCGTGAAGTGAGCGGGCGGGTCGGATATTTGTTAGTGGTAAGCGTGAATGGGCGTAAATATTTTTTATTAAAACCGTGAGCGGGCGGGCCGTAAATAAAAAATTAGGCCCGCGCCCACCTCTAATTGGGGTATCAAAGGCTTCTTGAGTGACCTCGTTCTCTTTACTAAAAAGAGTTCTGACAAGAATCGATGAAAGATAGATGTAAACAAAATTTAATATTTTAATGGCCCATGGAAAAAAAATAACATAAAATTTAACATTTAATTTATTTTTTCATTAGATAAGCTTTGCAAATATAATGTATGTTAAAATTTAAAAGTAAAAATCTCAGTTGCAAAAAATTTCTGAGTTCCTAACTATTTGTTTTATTTCGAAAAAATATCCCCCCTCCCTCTAAGTAAGCAGTTGTCCCATACCCGGCAAGAAATTCCTGGCTACGAACCTGTATATGATATATAGTTTTATTTTACCTATTCTTCTCCGAAAGTCAGTTATGAAAATTTAATTAATAGGCCAAATGGGCATAGATTAATGAAATTTATTTGAAAATCTTATATTTAACTTTATATATTTTTTATTTTTAAAATGTGATTTATTTGAATTTTTATGTTTGCTTTATTTTATTTTAATAAATATTAAGTTATATAATAATTCTGTATTTGAATTATAATTCATTATGTACAATAATTATGTTCAAATTTATGTTTTATCTCTATAAAACTGTGCAATGATATTTGCAATTATAATATAATTTATCTGATATGCTGCTTCAATAAATATATTATTTATAATGTTATAAAATATAATAGGATCGATATGATGATATTTACATAATTATTAGAAAATGGTTAATAAAAATATTATTTAGGTAAAAAAATATTAGTGGTTTATAAAATCGTCTTACAAAGTATTCGTCAAAGTATATATTTACAAAGTATTCGTCAAAGTATATATTTACAAAGCATTTGAAAATACTAATTTTGCAAATGTTTAATATTAGAGACCTGCAGAGGTACAATTTGCACGGCATACCCGAATTTTTTTTCAAAAATCTTTTCGACCCAGCCCTGGTTTTATATTTTCAGGCTTGGTCCGGATTTTTAAAAAATATATTTCATTTATTTTTGATTTTTATAGCTAATAATGGGATTTCAAATATTTGGCTTTAAAATATACGGCTCGGCCCGGATATTTTTTTCAAAAAATTAAGGCCCGGCCCGGGTGGGCCTGCTGGTCTCTGATATTTATATTTTAAATACTAAAAATGTATTTGTATTTATATAGTTTTTTCAAAAGTGTATTTATATTTATATAATTTTTCCTGAAATGAATTTGTATTTATAATCGATGAAAATCAACCCAACTCTGGTCTCACGCCTAGAAGATTCTACAAAAAGGTACCAAAAAGAACTTTTCACGCCCTGAGGGTTTGAAAGGCGTAAGCTCGAATAAGCCAAATATGCCTAAAGGTTATTTGAAATGAGAGCACATTGAGGCGGGTTGAGGGCGTTATAGAATATATTTAAATTTTGATATAATCTTAGTGATGTACACATATATATATATATACTAGAAAATGACAAATTGTCAATGTAGGTCGAACCAAAAGCAAAGCAAGAATTAATTTGCGGACTGCCTAGCCCTGTCTTAAGCTTTTACAATTTCTTTTAGTAATGTTAATTTATACAAAATTTAAGGATCAAAAGTCAATTTTCCAAAAAAATGGAAACTTTTTTTCCTAATATTAAAATTGTTATAAATTTTTTAAAAAAGTCACATTAAACAAGGACATGTATTTTTTTAAATTGCCACCTTTAACTGAATGTTACTAACTAGTGTAAAATATCTAATTGTACCCATTTGGGCCAAAAAATTTAAAAAAATAATTATGACCTCAGCCAGGCACATTTGGAGGTGCTCATTTAGAAATAGCTCTGATTCGCAAGACTATCATTTGAAAACTTGGTTAAGCCATTTTAGAGCGGAATGAATAGATCTTATTTTATGTTTGGTCAAAAGTCTTTCAAAAAAAGTCAAGTTGTACAAAAAAAATCTGCAAGGCATTTTAAAACCCGAGAGAATTTCTCAATCTTCAACAAAAAATGAAGATAGAAGCCTTCAATTATAATTAAAGCCCCTTAGTAGGAACCCAGCTAGAACTCACCCTGATATTTTATATTCCCGATATTTGACTTTTAATAGTGTATTTGCATCTCATACAATGCTGTTTAAAAATGTTAAATCTTAATCCAAAACCATGGAACTGATCTAATATGATTTTATTAGCCTCAACTGGTAACCTTTATAAGGTCCTAGTTCCTACATCAAGTATTATTTAAGAATAAAATGTAGGTGATTTTAATAAATCATAACTCAAATTATTGAGAAATAAGTTCTGATTGATTTGGTTAACACACTTATTGAAATGTTAATTTAATTTTTTCAATAACATGATTAAACAATTTACATCATTTTATGTTTATTGAGAGGTGATTTAAAAAATTTTTTTATAATGCAAACATTAAAATCGATTTTGTATTTATATAATTAAAAATAAGTAATTTTTCCCCACATATTTTGTTCTGTTGGTTGATATTAAGGCCATTATAATATATAGTTTATAAATTAGCATAAAAACAAATTAATATATTTTAACAACTCGTTAAAATGGAAAATATTATAAAAAAGATAAACAATTGTAAAAATTTGTATCTATTTTTGATTTTGTCATCAATATTTAAAGAAATAATCATCATTTTTATATAAAAATCTATTATGGACAAAAGTTATCAAAAATATTACACATTTTTAATTAAAAAATAATTTATTGTATAGTATTCTATATGGAATCTGCCAAAAAAACATGTAATATTAATTTTGCATAAGTATTAAAAATATTAATATGAGCAAATTTTAAACAATGTGATTATATCACATAGAAATTTGACAAGATGCATATTATAAAAAAAGATTGTTTTTAATGCATCTGTACTCCACTAAATACCATGTTATGTTAATTATTCATGTTCAATTTTATCAACCAATATTTTTGAACAAATCTTAAACAAAAATATAATGGTGCTTATTATACATAAATAATATATTTAATTAAAATGTAATCATATAAAATAGAATATATTAAAGCTGAGAGAGAGAATACTTAATGCACAATGTAAATATTTCCTTCTAATGTCATCCTTGTAAATTAGTACAACAGGTCTAAAATCCTCCTCCTGACCAGATTTTGCAATATTAACTTGACTTTTTATATTTTGGTCAAAATTTTTGCTATAAATAAATTTTAAAGGATCTTTGTTCATTATGTTATGTGTATCACCAGTATGTCCCTGATTATATATACCTTTGCCTACTACAAAATCGGAATCCCCAAAATAACTATCCATAAAATGGTGAATAATAGCCTGTTTTACGGGTATGGAAACATTGTCTAGTGATCTGAGAATCTGATATTTACAACAGGGATCCCAACTCCAAAACAAAGTATAAACTAATGTGAATATTAGTGAAACACCAGCAGTTGATAAAGACATTATAGTAAATATACCTTTATCTTTAGAATCTATGTTAATTTGACTCATCAAAATTGGAATTGAGGTACTTAAAATTTTATTTTTAAGTCTTGGGTAAATTTTTTTGAGTAAAAATGGTTGAATAATCAAGGAAGATAATCCTGATATAACAGCCATTTTATGTATGAAGTTACCAAATGTTATCCATCTTGCAGTGTAATCACCTAGAGGCTTATCATAAATCAATATAACAGGCTTTTTAGAGTCAAATGCAGCTTCTAAATCAGTTTCAGATGTTCTATTTTGCAGAATATTAGGTGCATACCCAAAATTATTATTTCTGTTATGATATATATAATATGACTGAGGATAAATAATAGTACAATATTTATTGTCCTCTTCATTATCATTATTGTAATGATCTTCAGATTTTTCATCTAATCTATGAGTGCTATGAGAGTATGTAGGTGGAAAATTTATGGATGGAACCATAAGATACTCATCTTTATCTATATCATTATTAAAACCAGCTAGAGAAGATGCAGATGATAAAACATAGTTATTTAATTCATCTCCATTAGAGCTATTTATTGGTTCATTCATATTTTTTAAATCACTTTTGGTTAACAAAGGGTCGTTTTTTATAAATTCAGAATTTATTGAACTTTTATTTAATTCATTATTGTCTAACATTGGATGCACACTTAATCTATGTTTAAAAAAATAAAATATGACTAAGAAGACATCTTATATATAGTAATTATATTTTAAAATTTATAAAAGTTACATGAGCAATTCAAGAATCTAAGCTACCATAAAAATACTTGACGTACATGTCAGATGGCAATCGACACTTATTAAAACCACTAGATATTTAGGCAGTTCTAGTTATTGCAACAAATTTTATATATAAATACTATATTTAATATAAAAAACATGCATTCGCCAGTGAAAAAATATCTGACACAAATGCGAACTAACTCAAATAAATTACCCTCGAACCCAAAATAAAAGTAAACAACCACAATCAAAAAATTTTAAGTTTTAAATTTTCTTATCAATAAACATAGAAATTTTTTTTGCGAATGTCCAGTTAACCAGAATTAAAATGCGAATAATTCAAAAATACACACTAAATTTAGTGGAAAATGGGCAGAAGATTTTGTATAATCAAAAATCATCGCAAAAATGAACATATATTAAATATATACCATATTCTATCTATCAAATTTTTGTTTATAATATCATCATTGTTGTAATATCTAAAATGATTATTTATAATTGTATTAAAACGATAAAATTAATTATTATAATATATATATATATTATGAACCTGTTGTTAGCCATGTATTTTGTTGATTTTTGTGAAAAGAAATACAGTGGCAACAAAGGAAAAGGATTTTTATTTCATTAATTGATTTTTGTAAGAAGAAGATTTGATTTTTGTTAAAATTATTTACGAAATCAATAAAGAGACCAAGATCAAGAAAATATTTAGTAGCAAAGAATATACCAAGAAAACATTAAATTAATCATGGTAAGGAAATTTGCAATTTAATTTATTTTCAGTTTAATTTAATTTTCATATGAAATAACTTTTTATTAATTAATTTATTTTCAATTTAATTATAATTTTCATATTAATTAACTATCATTTAATTTTAATATTAATTAACTTTCTTATTAATCATTATTATGGTTTATTTAAAAATGATTTCAATATATAAAATAAGATGTCATACAATCTTGCAGCATTGCTTGTCTTAAGCCCTTTCGTCATCTCAAGCCCACGGGCGGACGGGTGGGCGTGTTAAAACTATTGGTGTAACAATTTCTTATTTGTTACTTAAAATCAATTGAGTAAATATTTAAAAAAATATGCTCCTTGAAATTTCAATATTTTTATTACCAAAGTACTGATAACTGAGGATGTTTTCGTCGGAAGAAATTAATTAGATAGCAGATATATCGAAAACATGTTTGATTTAATTTGAATGAATAAATATAACATCACGTAGATGAAAATCTTTTTTTACCTGGTTCCCCAAAATTAAAGAGATTTCTATTATAGATCGTTAAATTATAAAGGCATTGAAATAGATAGCATCGCTAAAATTAAGCAACTACAGATGATAAGATATGGCTGTTACAGAGGAGAGCATTACTTAATGACATAAAAAAATATTTACATGTTAAAATGACGAGTTTTTGTAGAATTTAGCAGATTTTAGGCTAACCAACTGAATATAATAGAAACTATACGCTATTTTAAATTTAGAAATTATTATAAGTTATTAAATAATTAATCACTAGAGATAACTATGATTAAGAAAAATAAACATAAATTGTGAAGGTTTAAACAAATAGTTTTGCTAAGATATGATAATTTAAAAAATTCGGTGAATAAGATTAGAGGCTAAGACGAGTATACCTTTATTGTTAGAAAATAGTTGATGTTGTAATTAAATTCTTATTTAAGATTTACGTTTAACTTTTATTTTAAGGGCTGAGAGAGATAAAACAGCCTCAAGGATTTGATTGAATGTAGTATAATATTAGGTTGTTGATTAACCAAAAATCTTCATAAAGAGAAATGGCTTTCGTCATTAAAAAATTTATGCCACAATCGAGCTCATTTATAGGTCCGATTTTTATTTTTGATCAATAATAATTGAAGTCAATTAGGCAACATTATTCTAATAATAGTAAGAAGAAAATAGGCCAATGCTAAAGAAAAAATGATAAAGTCTATTTTAAATTGTTTTAATGGGGTTTTAGATATAAGAAAATATAGTGCAAATTGAAGAAATAATTATTTTTGAAAATGATGATATGGATACGAAATACTTCGGAAGAGAAAAATAATTTTTTTTTTGATATTTAATTTTAATATTAGAGTGTAAAATAAAAAAAAAAGTAGGAGAATTTAAGAAGTTTAAAAAAAAGAATTTAAGTGTAAAATAGTGATATATAATGGTGAAATTGATTGTTTTTTTTAAACAAGTTGTGCTAGAATTAGGAGAATCATAAATTTATGTGTTTTAAAATTGATGATAAACATAATCGATTTGTATGGTGAAGCAAGTGATAATTATGAGAATCTTAATTTTAAGTTTGATGATAAACATAATTGATTTGTTTTTTTAACAAGTTGGATCAAATTATAAGAATCATAACTGTAGGAGTTTTAAAATTGTTGATAACCATAATTGAATTGTCTTTGTAACAAGAATTATGAGAATCATAATTTTAGTTGTTGATGATAGACATAATGGATTTGTTTTTTAACAGGTCTGCGAGAGTTATTAGATAATTATGGGTTAAAAGTTATGATCTTATAGTGCGCACAAATTGAACGTTTGCAACGCAGCGTTTCAAAACGCAAACAATGCATTTTAAATGCATTCGTTCAAATTGAGAACATTTCCATTTTTCATTTTAAATTATTTTTTAAAATATAAACTTGCTTGCATTTTTCAAAACTTTTTAAATTTTGAAGTGATAAAATTCTTCTAAATTGTAAGAATAATAATTATTAAATGATATAATAATATTTTTAAGATATGGAACGATGAAATAAGCAGAAGATTTGGAGAAATCCTGGACTACCATAAAAAAAGTTTCATTGTTATGGAACATTTATCAGTTATTATTTGCAGGTATAAATATATAAGAATGTTAAATATAATAAAATAATTAGATTATCATTGGAATTGACAAACTTCAAGGATAAGCTGAATAAGGAGAAAATAGGAAATCCTACTTATTATTTATTTTACTGGTAAGTTGATAATAACTACTTAAAAAATATAGAGTAAGGCTGTGCCAACCCTCAAATTTTGTTCTGATATTACTACAAAGCCTATACAATACTGATCCAAAATTTATATTGATTTTATTTACCATCTATATTTGAATAAATCCCACAAAATATTTTACTATTCATAAAAAATTATAAGTGTATTTTGTTTCTTTATTCTCAAAAAGTTAATTTTAAAATATTTGAAATGTTAATTTTCATGTGAAACTTTAAGTACTAAATGCTAATACGTTAATAAATTTTGGAAGAAAAGCCATCTGGGATGCAGTAAAGCTAATTTTTATATTTTATTTAGACTTTTTATAAATAGCCTTGTAGAGTCTATACAACCAAGTGCTGTTTAAAACTGAGGTTTTAAAATTTCTACACTATCTGAAGACAAATGGTACCTTACCAACACTTACAAATGAATCTGCATTGACATATTAGCATTATATAAATTATTTATTTATTATAAAAATATATTATATATTTTATATTAATTTTTATATTGACATTAGATTCTTTTAATAAAATTTTTATATATTATATTTGTCTCTATTTTCATATTTCAATTTAATTTTTCTTAACATTCAAATTATATTAGTGTTCAAATTAACATTTAATAGAAATTAAGAGATATATCAATATAATTTTTCTTAATATTCAATTAATTTAGTTATATCATTTAATTACTATGGTTGATATTAAGAATCTATTTATAGAAGCAACAGATAAATCTTATTTAGGTATAGTTTTCACACTATAAAATAATTTAATTATATGTCTTAAATTCTATGAAAATTTCAATTGTATCATAAAAGAATAGAATTAATATTATTTTAAGTTTGAGGTTCATTCCCCAAGCTTTAAAATAGCTCAATGGGCTACATCTTGAATAGTGTCCAAATTAACATGCAATAGAAATTAAGGGATAATCAAATAAATTTTACTTTCAATTAATTTAGTTATATCACTTAATTACTATGGTTGATATTGAAAAACTATTTATAGAAGCAACAGAAAAATCTCATTTAGATATAGTTTTTACACTATAAAATAATTAAATTATTCTTAAATTCTATGAAAATTTATTTGTATCAAAGAGAATACAATTAATATAATTTTAAGTTTGAGGTTCATTCCCCAAGCTTTAAAATAGCTCAATGGGCTACATCTAGAATAGTGTCCAAATTAACATGCAATAGAAATTAAGGGATATATCAAATAAATTTTACTTAATATTCAATTAATTTAGTTATATTATTTAATTACTATGGTTGATATTGAAAAACTATTTATAGAAACAACAGATAAATCTCATTTAGATAGTTTTTACACAATTCTATGAAAATTTTAATTGTATCAAAGAGAATACAATTAATATTATTTTAAGTTTGAGGTTCATTCCCCAAGCTTTAAAATAGCTCAATGGGCTACATCTAGAATCATGTCCAAATTAACATGCAAGAAATTAAGGGATATATCAAATAAATTTTTCTTAATATTCAATTAATTTATATCATTTTAGAGATTAATGGATAATATCAATTAAATTTTTCTTAATATTCTATAAAAATTAAATATGTAAACATAATTTAATATAAAAAATTTTCAAAAATAAATTTTATACAATAATAAATATTTAATAATTTATAAATTTGTCTCTAAGAATTTTTGATTCTATTGAATAAGATTTATTTTCCCTGCTAGGTAAGAAAGGTCTTGTAGTGATTATTTGTTTTAAATTTAAATGCTTATTATTGAAAAAATAAAACTTAACGTATCAATTTATAAATGGCTGCGTTTACGTTTTTTTATATGCGTTTTGAAACGCTGCGTTTCAACGTTCAATTTGTGCGCACTATTAATTAAATTGTTTTACAAAGTGAGTAAAAAAGAAGAAGAAAAGATATTATTAAGTCCAGTTGTTTTCGAACAATGGGCAACCGCATAAATAAGAAAAGAAATAGATATTTTCTTTTTCTTTAAAGAACAGGCGTGTACAGGAATTTATAAACGAAATAAATAAGTAATACCACAAGAAGACAAGATTTTTGGGTAAAAATTTAGAACTAAGATTTATTTAGATTCAAGATATTCAAGATAATTTTAGATTTAGATTCAGCTATAGATATGGTTGACAAAGGATGTGGATTGATAGCTAAAGGACTTTTACCTATAAATGGCTCAATGAAGATATGGGTCTGGGCTTCATTGAGGGTAAAGGGATGATAGAATTTGACATAATGGTTTAATTCATTTAGCGTATTTTGTCTATGTATTATAATTTTAAGATTTAATTTAGAGGAAAAAGTGAGCAAATATTTCGAAGTTAAGTTATTTAATAGATTATGTAAGGAAGAATTAGATTAGAAGCAATTACCTTATACATTAAAACGAAGTTGACATAATTATACATTTTATTGGTAAATTGGACTATGTATTTTAAATTTGAGAACGAATGTAAGAAAAAGTGATTATGAAGTTATAAAGGGTTAAATAGATTATTTTAGGTAGAAATAGATTAGATGCTATTACCTGAGACCAAAACAAAGATCAAGTGTTAATAAAGAAATCTTAAGACTAAATCGATATCTCGGCAAGTGCAAATTGTCGTAGAAGACATGGAAATCTAAAAGATCGATACGGTTACAAGAATTAGATGAAAAGAACTAATCAATTACAAGAGAATGTTGGAAACAAGAGACTAGATATAACAGATGTTTGAGACGTTCATGCTGCAATCGTTAATCGCTTACCAATATCGCCAATTGTTTACTAAAACTTTAGTCTAAGATACGGAAGTTGATAATCATTGGCACAAGAATTCGTGGAAGTTATCTTATAGCAGACAAATTATCGTCAATCGTTTACCAGATATGTTGAAAAAGACACTATAATTAATCGTGAATAGTTGAGAGCATGCGTTAATCGAGTTCGTCAATTGCATACAGAGATCAAGAGATAATCGTTTGCCATGGGTTAACAAGAAACAGAAGATAGGTTTCAAGAATTTCAGGCTGTAATCGGATACAAACAGTCCTTGGAATGAAGAATACTAGACAATGGACAACCATCGTTAGAACTTTAGAAGGCATTAAAGACTACGCAGAATAGGTGTAGTAGAGTCGATTGCGGCATAAACTTTCTAATGTTGAAAGCCGGTTTTCTTTATAAAGATTTTGGTTAATCAACAACCTAATATTTTACTAAATATTATCAGCTTATGCGTAACTTATTCACATATCAGATAATTGAGGCTGTTTTATCTCTCACAATCCTTAAAATAAAAGTTAAACGCAAATCTTTAATAAGAATTTAATTACAACATCAACATATTATTTAATAATAAATGTTTCGCATATATTACAACATCAACATATTATCTAATAATAAATGTTTCGCATATTTTCAATTATACTATATTTTTAAATTGATTTAATCCTACAATGTTCCTTTTTATTTGTCATAGTTATCTCTAGTTATTAATTATATAATAACTTATAATAACTTATAATAATTCCAAAATCTAAAATATCTTAGTCATAGTCTCAATTAGATTCTGTTGGTTTCTAAGTTTACCAGTAACTTTGTTAATTTCATAAATTATCACCTTAAAATAACTATAACACAAACTTATTTATATCTCATCTACTATGAATGATACCTTTATAATTCTCTTTTTTTTTTCATTTTAGATAATCATATTCCTACACAATTTTGTATCTTAATCTTAACGATATTTACAAAAATAGTACAAAATCTAAATGAGCTACCGTAAAATAATTTTTTTCTGTTTCAACCAATGACATATATAATACCAGACTGACGATTCAGTCGTTAAAAGCAAATCAGCTGGACCCGCCATTTTGGTAACATATAGTAATTATTCTCATGTTAAAACCTACTATTAAATCGATAACTTGCTTCCTTATTATCTCGATGATCCGGTAATTCTTTAATAACGTTTGCATCAGATATAGGAATAAATTAGGCTCTCGTTTAAAATTTTAGCAATGATTAGTGTAACCAAGATGGCGTCTCCAGCTGATTTGCATTGACGTACACTTTTAATGAATGAATCGTCAGTCTAGGTATTATATATGTCATTGGTTTCAACATAATTCTTTAATATTTGGTTTAAATAACTCTAAATATCTTTGAAATCCAAAGTAAATTCAGTCTTAAAAGATAAATTTTATTGTCCTATAAATTTTAATCAAATTTCACTATTTTTCTTACCCTTTTTTTTTGGAATTTTTGCATTAGAATGCAGTTTGACAACACTCCTTGTCCCCATGTGACCATTGCTTGGCATTAGTTTGAAATTTCCTAAAATTGTCCCGGAATGCATCCTCTCTTTGACACCATTGTTGAATTGCGAGTTTGAATCTAAATAAAAAAAGATAATACAATTGTTAATGATATAAAATTTAAAAAAATAACATAATTTCTGATTACTTTATTAATCTCTATTAATTATAAAATAATAAATTATAGTAAAATATATTCAATTAACATTATAGAATATTATAAAAATTAAAAATAAAAACTAAAAAATAAGAAAAATCAAAAAAAGTAACAAAAATAACTTTATATCCACAAAATCTCAAATATATATATCTTTCCTTCATTTACATGGTCTATAATAATATTGTAATAATTTGAATAATACTTTTATTTTATATAGTTATTTATTTGAATGGTATTCATTTGCATATTATAACAATTATATAAGAGGAAATTAAAACCTAATATATCTATACATCATTGACTAAAAATATTTTAATTTTTTATTTTATCACATCAAAAGTTTAAAAAAATGAATGCAAACTTTATGATATAGATTTATAAATAAAATCTTAATAAATAGATTTTAAGTTAAAATAAAACCCTTTTTTTTAAATATGACAATTTTTTAAAATTATAAAACCTGAATTTGTATAATTTTAAATAGCATTTATAAAAGTAGAGGGCATGTTGGTGGTTGATCTAAGGATGGGTTCTATTAATAATTGTTTGATTTATTTATTAAAATTTTTATAAAAATGTTTAAAAAAATATAAACTTTAAAATAAAAAATAATTTTATGAAAAACATAATTGAGTTCTTAAAAGGAACAGTTAAATTTAAAAATATTTGTATGCACTGCCTAAGGAATAGGAATTTCCCAGGTTCAAATGTTTGCGATTTAATATTGTGAGTTATTTTTTTTATAAAACTAAAATTGTAGCGCGAACTGTCCATTCGTAGACGTTTCTAATGGTGAAAATATAAAATTGCACAGACTTTTGCAATTGTATTTTTTAGTCCTTGCTTAAGTGAGCAGGTTGCTATTGATTTTAGTGGAAAAGAATGAGACACAAGAGATTTTCCTATAGCCCAGGAGATAGTGGTCAGACCGTATGGTCTTAGGCCGTCATCTTTTG